ATAAAGAAATAAGATAAACAATATCAATAATAATGTTCAATATGTGTTGGAACATTGATAAGGACAGACTATTTACAGTACAGTATTATAGGCAGAGTGTATGTTTTAGCAGAGGTCAGCATGTATTTAATCTTTATTGAGTCTGTTGGGAGCAGTGATGGTTGTAGAGTCTAACAGCTGCTGGGAGGAAGGACCTGCAGTAACGCTCCTTTGTGTATTTAGGATGCAGTAATCTGTCACTGATGAGCTGTCATTTTCAGCAACAGCTTCATGCATGGGGTGGGAGACATTGTCCAGCAATTATGTTATTTTAGTTAGAGTCCTTCTGTCTCCCACCACCTGCACTGGGTCGAGGGGGCATCCAAGCACAAAGCTGGCCTTCTTGATGAGCTTATCTAGCTGCTTCTTCTCAGCTGATGATAAGCTGCTGCTCCAACACACAACACAATAGAAGATGGCTGATGCTACTACCGAGTCAGAGAAGGTCTTCAGGAGCACACCCTGCACTCCAAAAGACCTCAGTCTCCTCAGCAGGTAGAGTCTGCTCTGACCCTTCCTGTAAAGTGCATTAGTGTTGTGAGACCAGTCCAGTTTATTGTTCAGGTGAACACCCAGGTACTTATAAGAGTCCACGATCTCAATGTTCACTCCCTGGATGTTCACTGGGGTCAGTGAGGTGGGTCTGTGTCTGCGGAAATCCACCACCAGCTCCTTAGTTTTAGCAGCGTTGATCAGGAGGTGGCTCTGCTGGCACCAGTCCACAAAGTCTTGAGTCCGCTGTCTGTACTTTGAGTCGTCCTCACCTGTGATGAAGCCGACTATGGCAGAATCATCAGAGAACTTTTGCAGATGGCAGTGTGGGGAGTTGATGGTGAAGTCTGCAGTGTAGAGGGTGAAGAGGAACGGTGCCAGCACAGTTCCCTGTGGGACCCCCGTACTGCAGACCAGCATGTCAGAGACACAGCCATCTGTCCTCACATACTGTGGGCGTCCAGTGAGGTAATCCAGTATCCACTGGGACATGTGGTGATTCACTCCTGATAACTCCAGCTTGTCCTGCAGAAGTCCTGGCTGGATGGTGTTGAAAGCACTGGAGAAATCAAAGAACATGATCCTCACGGTGCTTCCAGGTTTCTCCAGGTGGGTCAGAGCTTGGTGCCTGAGGTAGACGATGGCATCATCCACCCCAATGCCAGGCCGGTAGGCAAACTGCAACAGATCCAAAGAAGACCTCACCAGGTGGCGCAAATGGTTGAGGACCAGCCTCTCAAGTGTCTTCATCAAATGTGAGGTCAGAGCCACCAGCTCTAGTTACTGAGGTCCTTGGGATGTTTGGTTTTTGGTACCGGTACCACACAGGAGGTCTTCCACAGTTGTGGTACTTTCCCCAGCTTCAGGCTCAGATTGAACATAAATCCCATGATGCCACACAGTTGATCTGTGCAGCACTTCAGGAGATAATAAGGTAAGTAGTAGCAGGTGCTGTTGTGGACTGTAGACAGGCAGGTTGAAGGCAGGCTGGTGGACACTTGAGCAGCAGGTCAGCATAGTATGAAGACAAATGGTACCAGGAGTTCAGTACAGGATAGCATTCAGCTTGAAGACACAGGGGATCAGGTAAGTCCAGGGAGATTTTCAGGAATTAAACAAGGAGGGCACAGAGAAAATCTGATAAGTATAATTTTTATTTTTAGGAAAGCACAAGAAGGCTGTCACAAATACCACTTGGTATCCAATATTCCAGCGAAGAAGAGAACACTTCAGCAGTTCTTTATACCCCTGGAGCTCATTACAGGAATTGACCACAGTTGCTGTTCATTGGCACCATCCTGCCAATCAGGAAGCTTCAGAAGGAAAAACACTGGAATCCCACAATTTGATAAATAAACTTGTATAATGACCTCCATTTTTATGGGATTCATCAAACTTCATTTTAATATTTTTAAAGTAAATAAAACTTTCCAAAACGTGGAACATTTCATGAAATCATCTTCTTAATCTTCTTCTTTTGGCTTTTCCCTCTTCAGGGATCACCACAGTGAGTCATCCTCCTCCATCTCACTCTGTCCTCTGCCCTACTCCAACTACCTCCATGTCCTCTCTAACTGCATCCATATATCTTCATTTTGGCCCTTTTTTCCCCCTGGCAGCTGCATTTCTAACATCCTTCTACCAACATACCCACTGTCCCTCCTCTGGACATATCCAACCCATCTCAGTCTGGCCTCTCTAACTTTATCTCCCAGAACATTTCATGAAATAAGAGCTGAAAAAAAAATCCATTTGTTACTGCAATTTTGTTGCAAACAAAAAAGGAACATAAAAACTCGTAAAAGCAGCAAAAAACTGAAATGTTACTTATTCACCAAAGCATCCAATTTAACTCTTCACGTGGCTCTGAACTGGAATTAATGCCATTTGTATTGGATTTTTTTTTTCTTATTTAGTGTTGTGTTTTTTAAGTTTGAATTTCTATGTTAAACATCTTTAAAGTTTCGTAAAAGGTGCTATACAAATTTATTTCATTATTCTTATTATTAAAACTCTTGAGGGACATTTTTTTATTAACTGGCTGTTAATCAAGAGTTATTAAAGCATGCATTATGAGTGAAAATACAGTTACAGTCCAACAAAGAAGAACATGTCATGAGGGATAAAAAGAAGCCCTTCCTGTGAGCAGCCGGCTGCACAACCAAACACCTCCTCAGTGTGACAACAGGAGGGTCATGACGGACCCCCGGGGAATGGGTAAACACCAACCAATCCAGCAAACACTAGCGCCACACTGGGTTGAGCAACGCAGCCGTGGGACATCTGGCCACATCACAGCTCAGCGTTCCTGCTTTATGAGCAGAAACAGCCATAACTTATAGAAAATATTTATTTTTTAAAAGAGCAAAGCCTGGTGGGCTGCAGAGGAGAAATGCTGACTGTAAGAAAAAAGGAGGAAAACAAAGAATGGAACAAGAAAATGACTGAGTGGCAAAATGAGACGACAGAAACGAGTGATACGATAAAGAGCCTAAAGGCTGCCATCATGTCATCAGGAGTGCAGTGAACGTTGCCCTTATAATTCAATTCAATTCAAAAATACTTTATTAATCCCAAAGGGAAATTATTTGTTGTTGTAACTCGTTATCCTCATTTCATTAAGAGACGTTATAGATGCTGATGGCTGTAGGCAGGAAGGATCTCTTGTAAAGGTCCATCCCACAGTGGATCCTAACAAACTGGCTGCAGATGCCGTCTAAGTCTACTTCTATATAATTTCATTAAAGTGTATAATGTTTCTTCTACCTAAGACAGCATTATAATGTTATTTTCAAGGTTAGTAGTCAGTACTACAAGTTTCACGTACTTTATCATCCACTGCCAAAGGCACGGGCAGAGCAATGATGATTTTGATCACGTCTGTGTGTGTCTGTTGGCTTGCGCCATTAGCAAAAATTCTCATGTTTTAGCCTATCTTATTCAAAATGTTTGATGCATTTGTCCAAGATGTTGAATTTAGACTAAAGTTTCTTTGATAAAATTCAGGTTTTCATCAACTTATTTAAACATGGTTTTCTTTTCAGTTAAGGATATAGTAGACCGGCTGGAGATAATGCAAGTGGTAGTTTTGGCTCTCTGGTCATTCGTTGCCCACATCTGCTCTAACATTTAATTGTGGTGGTCATACAACAACAAATGGCTATAAATTAGTCAATTTTACAAATAATCATGTAGTAGCTGAGGGTTATCCTCAAAGCGCACTTTAACTAACAGATCTCACACAATGTAAATTTACACTATTTTTGACCCAAACACCTGCAAATCTGTCATTTCTCAACATAAGATGATCATAGTATAAAAATATGGGATGAAGGGTTGCTACATCTTTATTTAAAGGAAAATATTTAGAAGTTTGACTAAAAAAACATCTATGTTATCTACCCAGTGTCCTCTTTTTCAAGCATTTTTTCTGTGCATATCCCAATGGAAACCCCCCAGTTTGACCAACTCATGCCCTTCCGAAGCGACCACAGCATCTTTGCTGAACTGTCAGTAACCCACACCAGTTCCCACACCAATCCTATCTGTGGTAACCCATTTACTGGTTCACCTCTGACCTTTGGCTGAGGTCGTGGCCAGTGCCTTCATTAGGGGATAAATCATAAACACCTGAGCAGCTGACCTGGGCCCGGTGCTGGGGCTGCAGTCATGTGTTGTTAATTCAGAGTCGCAGTGGCGTGTAAATCGGGTTAAACCAGCGCCGGCGACCCTCGGGGCTCGGAGCGCATATTAAAAATGTGACCACAACCAGCTCACTATGTGTCACAGTGGGTGTGAGAGCGCGTGTGAAGTGGCTATAGGAAAACTGGCTCCACCGGTGATTAATCATGACTTTATATAGAGCATGTAATTGAATACTTTTACACAGTCCAACAACAGGTGACTATGTTTTACTGCTTACTTGTGGGTTTTAGTGAGGCTTAGTGATGCCAGAGGCTTTACACCACTTCACTTTATGGCATCCAAAAACAAACAAGTTGTTATAAATAAATACTTCCATATTTCTTTATCAACTACTACCAGTGTCTTTGTGTTTCTGTTTGTTAGCATTTTTTTTTTAAATTAATTACTTGATGGACTTTAATGAAACTCTCAATAAGTAATAATTGGATGTAATTTTATAAGTAATTACCTTTTGGAGTAAACTTAGATCAAGATGTCTGCAACAGCCAATCACATTTATCAAACACAAAAATGGCTGTAACTCTGACATCATTACAGATAATTAGCCTAAATCAGACATGGAAGTAGCCAAGAGTTTTTCCCATCACGTCTTTTGAGCAAACAATAATCTGATATTGAATATCTATGTTTCAAACTTTGGCATACAAGACAACAAGAGATATGCATCCCTACAAGAAATGCTCATTTGTAAAAACATCTCATTATGACGGACATATTTTTATGTTCTCCAGTTTTTCCGCTCATGTGTAAGATATTTCACTGACCTCTCTTCGGGCTCTCGTGGTTAAAGAGGATCCCGTTGACAGCGAACATGTTGTAGGCCTCACGGAAGTTCACCACAATCCAGTAGGCGTAAAGCTTAGCAGCTCCTGAGACGGCAGGAAGAGGAGAAACAGCATACAGGAAGTAAAACGGTTTAAATTTAAGTATTTTTGTTTCCTTTTTTTAAACTTCTACATGGAAAACTTTCTAATCTTTGATTAATAAAAGATGGACGACTCATTTGATGCTTAGGAGAAAAGAAGTAGAATAATCTGCCACATATGTATATTAATTTGCATATTTATTTATGAGCCCAAGTTGCACATGCAACTGAAATTATTCCACGTGCATGGGGATGTACAAAAGAAAAGTGTACAGCGACATGTTTGTGCACATTTTCGTAAATCTGTGTGCGAATGCACTTCTTTAACTTTGTTTATGCACCAACTTTAAGTATCCAAGCTGCTCATCCAGTCTAAAATCATTTACAGGGGGGTTTGTGTGACTAAGTGGGGTATCTGTAATGTTATCACATACAAGATATAACATTTAGGTGATAAACAGCTTTAGTTAGTTTTAGGGCCATTTTTTGAGCCACAGTTGCATCACTGAATGAAGACCCGTGTGCATAAAAACACTAAATATTACAGAGTGACAGGGGAAGAAAACCTAAAGAATATAATTAAAGTTACAGACAGGAGCGTTTCTAACTTTATCTCATGCCAGTGTGAAACAAATCCCATCTGGCTGCGAGGAGGATGAACCTGAGACTTCTGCTGATTGACCGAGAGCAGCTCTGCAATCTCACCAACCTCCTTCCTCCTCATCCTCCCTTCTCCTGTAATGAACTGAATACCAAAGCAAATGAAGGGAGGTGCCTGTTGATTAAGGCATACGTCAGTACATAAATTAAAGCTGAAGGGAGGTCGTCGTGGCAACCACCGCCTCCACCTTCCCAGGTCTAATTAATACAGGAGCAGCCCTTCTTAATAAAGGTGCTCCCCTCCCTTTGAGCTTCAGATTGAGCGCTGACAGATGGGGAAAGTGCCAGTCAGTTACGTCCTCTCTTGTCTAAAACCTGATCGCTAACACACGTGTACATCCCGCACGTGTGTGTG